AATTCATATGAAGGTAGAGGAAGACAATCAGTGGAATCTGACTAAGTGCTCACTCAGTTGTATAATCATGCTTAAAGTATAGTTGAAATCTATACTTCAACAAGGAAAACAATAAGGTATAAAAACTCTTCTGCTGAAGAGACAGAAGAAGACATAATCCATATGGTGAATGCATTGTATAAATTAAGGTGTAAACACACACACTTTCAGCGAGGTGCCACATAGGCGGTTTCTTTCGTTCTCTGACTGGTTTGATCAAGCCTCATAATCATCCATGAAAATATTTCAAAATCAACACTGAGGGCATTTTGTTCTCCATTTTAGAAAATAAATCAGGTTAATGATGCTTTGGCCAGCCTACTGCAGATCACTTGGCCTTTACATGGATAAAGCTATTTAAAATACAATATTATAATCTGAGGTAAAGGAAAACTCATTCATCAGCCAGATAAAATCATTTAGAGAGAGAAAAACAAGCAAAAGCTAGAGAAATACTGTAAATAATGAAACAATGTCATTTATTTTTAAATGTTTTGCCTTTTCGTGTAGGAAATACATCTCACAAGGTTAAGATGCTAAAGGCATCGTCAGTCTACTGCAAGTTTTTCTTTCTGTTTTATAACTCAAAATGCAATCACGCAACTTTTATGGCTCACCAAGATGCTAAAGCAACAAAAAAAATGCAGAGACAAAAACTTTATGCACTTCACTTGGCAGTGTTTCTCTGTATAGAGCCAGCTGTGTTTACAGCATACTGTAGTAAATGTTACATAAGGCAACCTGGCAGATACTGTCAGTTTTGTTCATGCAGTTTATATTTTACAGTAAGAATGGTGGAATGGATAATGAAACTGGCTCATATCAGTTTATGTTTTTATAAGTTGTTTTTTTAAAGATTCCCAACAGTCTCTGCTTTAAGAACACATGACTCAAAGGACTGTATTCATACATTGTGTCTTTAGAATTCATAAGAACACTACATTCATTTAGCTGAAGTCTAATCTATTACATCGATTGTCTGTCTCATTTTGAGAAAATCTTTTAAAAGTAAATTTCTGAGAGGACAGAAGCAGAAACATAGTCAAAGACTCACCAGTGAATTGTTGTCTTTTATTCAACTATACAATGTAATGTAATGAAGTGAAATGGCCCTCACTCCTAATAATATGTTATGTGTGGTGAAGCACATTACCTAACCCACTTACACTGCTTGAAACAGATAACCCTGGGTGGGAGACATCAAACATAAAGTACAGAAGGCTTAATTGATTTTTTTAAATCCTGTTTATAACAGCAGAACCAATGCAATGACTCATAACAGCTCAGTGAAACCCTTCAGGCAAGAAGTTGACCTTGTTTGCAGACTTCCTTTTCATTTTTTAAGGGTTTATGAACATGTTTTCTTCTTCAGGAAAACACTTTGTCCCGCCATATGGTAAGCGGTTCTATATGGTGCTGGGCGAATGTGTGATGTAGGCTTTTGTGGCAGAAGTGACACTTACATATGGATGCACAGCTGGCTGAGACAAACCCAACATCACCGCACGAATAGCTAACTAACTGTAGGGAAAAGACATTAGAGACATTAGAAGACTCTGTGGTAATTGCCTAGTTGTGTCCTTCTGGAATAGAGAATGAAATATCTCTGTGGCTTTATTCCTTTAAGGGAAATGGCATTGAACTTGTAATGAGTCACTTCCATCTGAACTATTCAGTTAATTCTTCCTCAACGGCCTCCCTCATCGCCTAATCCACTTCAAAAGCAAAAAACAAACAAAAAACCCCTGAAAAATTTGTAATCATTGATCATATTAACTGGGATTGAATTTTGTTTGTCTTGACCTACTGTGACTTCCAATTTTATCATTCTTG